GGTGTTCTTACCAAATTCAGAAATGAACCAGTTGCCTTCATGGCTGATATTGAAGCCATGTTTTATCAAGTTCGTGTTCCTCCTCATTAACATGATCTGTTACGCTTTCTGTGGTGGCCAAATGGTGACTTGAACTCGGAGCTACATGAGTATAGGATGGCTGTTCACATTTTTTGAGCAGTTTCTTCCCCCCGCATATCCAACTTTGCTCTCAAAGCTGCTGCAAAGAAAGCTGAAGAGAAGTATGGAAGCCTTGCTGCTGACACAATCTGCAACAATTTTTATGTTGATGATTGTCTCAAATCAGAATGCACGGAAGAGGCAGCTATTGACTTAGTGGACTCTTTGCAGAAATCATGTGCAGAAGGTGGCTTCAAGCTTACTAAGTTCACAGCTAACAGTCGCAATCTTCTCAGATCCATACCACAGGAACATCACTCAAAAGAACTCCAAACACGTGATTTAGACTATGATGAACTGCCTGTTGAACGTGCTCTAGGGATGTAGTCGCATATCAACGGTGATGTTTTTGGATTCTCTGTTCATCTGAAGAGTAAGCCATTCACACGAAGAGGACTCTTGTCTACGATGTCGTCACTCTACGATCCTTTAGGAATTGTTGCACCGGTTTTGTTACCAGCCAAGAAGATATTACAGGATCTGTGCATCAACAAGCAGCTCGGATGGGATGATGACATACCCGTGGAATACAAGGCATCATGGGAGCAGTGGATAGAAGAGCTTCAGCATTTGAGTACACTACGGATTGACAGATGTCACAAACCTGCTGATTTTGGACATGTTGTTTCTGTTCAGCTACATGTATTCTCTGATGCAAGCACTGTTGGATACGGTTGTGTAGCATATCTACGTATGTCTAACGATGAAGGCGGTATTCACACAGCTTTCTTGATTGGAAAGTCTAGGCTTGCTCCAGTGAAAACTATCACTGTTCCCAGGTTGGAATTAACTGCAGCCACTGTGTCAATTCACATCGGACAACTGTTCATGAAGGAACTGGAGACTACACCTGAAAGTGTCACTAACCACACAGACTCAACGACGGTGTTACACTATATCAGCAATGAAACAAAGAGGTTTCCAGTCTTCGTTGCCAACTGTGTTGGAAATCAGAGACTTTTCAGAACCTTCTCAGTGAAAGTATGTAGATTTAAAAAGCAATCCGGCTGATGTTGCATCCAGAGGTGTACCTGCATCACATCTGCTTACCTGTATGAACTGGTTTCATGGGCCCAAATTTCTTTCTTCTTCAGAATCAGAATGGCCACAGTACAGCCACCGCTTATCCATGATGAGAAGATGCTTGAACAAACAGTCACAGCAACCGTTGCAACACAGCATGACTGCTCTCACAACACTGTGAATAAATTGTTGGAACATTACTCAAGCTGGAATCGTTTCAAGCATGCTGTAGCCATATATCACAGATTGTTTGACTCACTTAAGTCACGGAACATCAATACAACAATAAGAAGCATGCTAAAAGCAACAGATCTCTTTCTGTGGAGGACCTCAGTCGAGCAAAGAAGAGTATTCTTCAATTTGTGCAGACAATACACTTCAGCAAAGAGTTTGAACTGCTTCAAGGATGTGAAGGTACGCGAGGCCGAGTTCCAAGGACAAGTTCAGTGTATAAACTTGACCCATTCCTTGAAAGTGGAATTCTCAGAGTCGGGGGTCGCATTGGCAGAGCTAATATCCCCAAGAAGATGAAGCACCCAGTTATACTTCCTTACAGAAGTCACGTTACGTCATTACAGACCAGCACATAAAGCTAGCCCATGCAGGACGTAACCATGTACTTTCCATGCTGAGAGAAACCTACTGGATTATAAAGGCTAACTCTGCTGTCCGCAACGTCTTGTCACACTGTGTTACTTGCCGACGTCTGCGTGGTTCAACATGTGATCAGAAAGTGACTGACTTGCCATCTAGGAGAGTCAAACCTGCTCCACCCTTTACCTTCACCGGTGACGATTTTTACGGCACCTTCGTTATCAAATTAAGATGGACGCAAGTACGGAAAACGCTATGGGGCACTCTTCACGTGTTTAGTTAGCCGAGCAGTGCATATTGAAACGGCAAATTCACTTGACACTGACTCTTTATTCATGCTCTAAGACGCTTCATAGCACGTAGAGGACAAGTCTCAGAGATATGGTGTGACAATGGCACCAACTTCATGGGCGCAACACGAGAACTACAGAAGACTGTGTCAGAAATGGATCAGGATAGTATCAAATCCGACCTGTTAAAAAGTAGAATCAAATGGAACTTTAACCCTCCATCGGCCAGTCACATGGGTGGCATCTGGGAACGGATTATCAGAACAGTTAAAAAACCCGATCTCTTGAAGGATTTCAATGAATGCTTGGATGATGAATCTTTCCGAACTTTAAAGTGCGAAGTTGAAGCAATTGTCAATTCCCGGCCACTAACCACAGTATCTGACAGTCCTGATGACCTATGTCCACTTACTCCAAATCATCTCCAACAGATGAAAACTAGCGTGTCTGTACCACCTCCTGGCCAATTCCAGAAGAATGATGTCTACATGCGGAAAAGGTGGAGACGGATCCAATATTTGTCCAATGTCTTTTGGTCCAGATGGAGAAAGGAGTACTTGGTGTCACTGCAGCAACGGCAAAAATGGACGATCCCAAAACGGAATATCCAGGTGGATGACATTGTCCTGATAATGGATGACAATTTACCGAGACTTCAGTGGCCCGTGGCTCGTGTTATGTCTGTTGAACATAATCAGAAGGGTTTTGTCAGTAGTGCTGTACTAATAACTCAAACTGGTGAATTTCATTGACCGATCAGCAAGCATGTATTGTTGTTATCCATCAAGTCGTGATTTTGTCGAATTTAGCCAAAAACCAGTGTGTCTGTATATACAAGCGTGTGATTTCTGCAATGTTTTGTTGCATTTGTGTTAAACAGCCCAGTCTGTTTAAGAGGCCGAGTGAGTTAGTGCAGAATGTATCATTTATGTTGCAAATCTGTTATGCAAAAATGTTATGAATTTCATGTACATATGTCAGCCTTAACAATGGTCTGTTGGTTATGTAACTGGACTAGCAGCATAGAGATCCTGGGTTCGATCCCAGGTTCAGGCAAAAGTTTTTGTGACTTACAATCAGTTGTGTTGCATCATGGGATAAGTTTCTGGTCATGTGACCTCATCCACTGTCACCTTCAGTTTGAAAGGTCTCCGTGTTGGAGAAACATGTCATGAACTATAGCAGAACATAGATTTTCTTGAACCTCAACACTGTTCATTCAACGCTAACGTTCAAAGGAAAATCATGTTAACAGATCCAAACGAATGAGCTTTTCACTCATTATTGTCAAGGAATAACGGACACTAAATATCAATTGAGAGTATCAAGATGTTGATTTTTGACATAATACTCAGACTTAAGTCTATGGAGCAAGATCGCCTGTCTGATATTATTCATCGATGATTTGGATGCTTTACTTCGTCTTGGGATAGTAAACTAATGAACCATCGAAAGCATTGTAAATTAGATGGGGCTTCACACCGACGTGTTGGGCATATTTAAAACGTTTCACTTCAGGATGACGCAGTTAATTAGCACACTTTGCGTTGGAATCATAAGGGTAATGTACATGAAAATCAGTAACGTACTTATGGAAACTATAAGTGTACACTGCTGTTGATTTCTAAGTAAATAATGTTATGTATATATACCATCGCCAAATTTTAGCCAAGTTTAGATATTTTGAAAAAAAGACTTTGTACTTTCTCAAATATCTCCTCTGTACAAGAAACTCAAAATCTCCGCTCCCGTTATAATAATATAGGCATTATTTTAGTATAAAAATATAACAACGCAAAATGGAAGGGAAGGGTAAACTTTTAGTAATCTGGAAACAGAAACTTTCTAGCTTGAAGAGAGAGAGAGTTTCACTCCCCTCTCCCCTCCACAACTGGACCAGGCTAACCTCAATGAAAACACATCAAAATTCATATAATATGTAACAACTTTATTTTATTTTATTTTCTACACTAAAAATATCCGCCATTTGCGAAGGACTATTATACTGGATGTATCTGAATTTACCTCCAAAGCACACTATAAACAATATTAATATAAATACAAACATTTTATTTCTGGAAACCACTCACTGAGTCATCCACCAACACTACATAATCAGCGAACAGCAAAAGAAGGATTTCTATTTACAATAACTTCTTTTCGTCTACGAAATCAAAGGCTTTACCGAAGTCTATGAAGGCGGCATTAAACCTGTGTCTAGGCTTTCGAAGATATTTTGACACAAAGATTGTAAAACAAAAATATTATGAGCAGTGGAGTAATTATTTCTAAATCCAGACTTTGACACATGAATAATAAAGTTTGTGTCTTACCAAATCCGTAGACGTGAACACTTTACCCCTTACATTCAGAAGTGAGATTTCACGGTATTCATTAGGATCGGCAATATCACCTTTCTTTAAAAGAAGTAGAATCATACCTATATTCCAAGAATCAGGTAACTCACTTTTGTCTATAATCGAGTTAAATAAAACCTCAAAATACGGGATAATAAACAGCGGGTTTTTTTAACTCTAAAGTTACACCATCCGGACCAGACGCCTCGCCTAATTTTAGTGAATTAAGTGCTTTTAGAAGTGATACATATAAGGAAGAGAATCTATGGACGTTTCGGAGTATATACTTACTCCTGCATCAGGTTAATAAATGCTATAAGGCAGATAACATATAAATGTGAAACTGGCTTCTACGTAAAATGGTTAATAAAGCTTTCTACTTCCTTTACACATGATAATACCAATAAACTCTTCCATTCGAAATAGTTATGAATTCCTCCCTGTGTGGTTCAGTGTTTGCTTTCCAGTGACTTTCTTTCCCACTCTAGTTTATTGTATCTTAAAAAGATTATTTTGTCCCCTTTTGCGACCAGCATAGGTCAGATGTCAGAGGTGTCTACGAGATATGTTTCTGAAGGATGTAGAGAATTCTTCTCCAGGCGTCCTCCTGCGCTGCAGCATGAGCTTCATGATGTCCTCCCATTACCACTGTCTTGCCTGTAAACACATACAGTGAGTGAGTGAGTTAAGATTTAACGTCACATCGGCAGTATTTCAGCCATATCGTGACGAGAAGTACGTTAATAATACACATATTGAGACCAAATAAAGCTGTCAACGATGGACAATACAATAACTAGAATATCACAGATTCGATTTAAAACTAGTTGAGCATATATAAAGGCAGAAAGTATGAGTTAACAACACAATATAAAAATGGGCGAGAGATCGTCAGTTACTGATGGTGATCACCATACTAGGGACCATGGGCACTTACAGTTCCTTTGCTTCCTGCATGGACCCCGGTGAAACACATACAGCATAAAGTATAGTACAGATCTAACTGATCAAGTTTCCACGATGTAAAATACATGATTACCAATGTACCTGTTTAAATAGTAGTATGCGGCATGTACAACAGGACATTAAATTAAGAGTGTGAACAAAGTGTACACAGCTGATATTAATCGCCTTGAGAGAAATCAACAGGTATTGTTGTTACTGATGTATAGGGTCCTTGCGGTATCCAACTTTCTCAGAGATAGAGAGAATATGTCTCAGTGAGTGAGTTAAAATTGTATGTCCCATCGGTAATATTTCAGACACATCGTGACTACCAAGCGTTAGACATAATAAATACATGGAAACGTATATAAAAATCTGCCAACGAAGGACAGTAAAATAACTAGACTTAACACAGACAAAGATGTACAATTAGTACGGAATTATAAAAAGAATAGCACCATACATAACAACAAATGATGAAAACGGACTATAGATCGCCAGTGAAGGTAGATCACCATACTGGGGACCATGCGGACTTACAATACCCATGCTACCTGCATGGACCCCAGGAGGATTTACATGATCCCTTCGAGTGTTGGCGATTATTGGCAAAGGTAGCCTAATAAATCAAAATGACACATATGTGTGCAACCTGACTCTCATGAGTTCCACTGCAACGGAAGCATCTAGTCTTGACTGTGCAAAATTTGGCTCCGTGGCCGAACGTTGGACATTTGCAACACCAGAGTGTATTAAGAACATAAACCTCAACTCCGAGGTTAAAATAGCCAGCTTTAATTGATTTTGGGACAACTAAAAAGCGAAAATGTGAAAAGGTACGTTTGAGTGTTTACAATACTTCCATCCTGTGTTCTTCTTGTAGAGCGCTTAACTGCGGTAACACCTTGGTTTGTCAATTCATGAGCTATTTCATCCTCTGTCATGTCTGCGAGACAGCGAGCACGATCTCGCACAATGCATTAGCTAGAATAAGGTGATTTATGTGCAGAAACAACAACCTTTGTGTTAACAAATTGCTGGTGACTGACTGAACCTGGACGAAGACGGGTAACGTTATTTACTTCCCCACAGATGCTTTGAATTCCCTTAGAAATAAAAAAAAATATTACGTTTGAGAGGATTGTCATCAGCGGATGCGATGACAATGAACCTTGGCCAAGAATCAGCCACTAGTGAAGGCACATCTTTATCAGATGAAAGAGAATCTACATGCCTACATTTGTATGACATGTTTCAGCATCCTGCTTCCCACCCGCCATCGAGTGTCTGCAAGGACGGCGCTGCTGTGGAAGCCGGGCTGCAACATCAGAGCTACAGGAGTGGTATACTCCAGCAAATACAACGCGAATATCTACACTTGTCTACAAAATGACATGCCCAGATGGTTCGGCACATGACAGAACATTGGAGACATGTAGAATTCGGAGGTCGACATCACTAGATTGGCCAATGACACACCGCCTTCTAGCATAGGACTCTTGGCAATATTTGGATAAGTGAGTGAGTTAAAATTTAACGTCTCATCTGCATTATTTCAGCCAGATAGCGACAATTTGCATAGGTAGATTATAATATTTCATCATCAAAATTGTTTGATAGACGTCTAGGCGAAGTAAGGGTCAAAGTGGTGTGTTGGGCAAATGGAACACCACTTCCTGGCTCCATTGCCCTCAACCACCAGACTCCCGTCCTCCCGCGAGACAGTGACGCAACCCACGGAAAACGGGTTGCTCAATTCGGTCGCCTATTACAAGCAATGGAGTGCTGAGGGCACATTCTTGTCTATCCTGGGTCCCCACGGGGGGATATGTCTCATTTGGTATGATACATGGTTGATCCTTTATCGAGTGAGGTGTGTGAGTGAGTATGGCTTCACACTACTCTATTCCATCAATATCACAACATGAGACATGAAGAATGGACTTCATACATTGTACCAATGTCATAGGAAAATATATGTTATCTTGAGTGAAAACCGTGTGCGTCCATAATGCGTTTCATAATGCGGAACTACTTCTATATTCCCTATCACATAGAGCAAAAGGCTTGTATTCATAAACTATGAATCCCTTTGAGTCCAATATAATTTGCGATGAAGGTTGGTCAAATTGACACTTTCTGGGGCCAATATCTTCAACAAGACCATGGTTTAAAAGAAAACAATAAAAACTCTATATCCTGAAACAATACTTTTTGTCCGCCAATGAACTCTCATGATCAATGTTCCAATGATACTACCAAGGGATTTCAAGGATATCCTTGAAATCTACGAACATCTTGCTACTTCGAAAGGAAACGAAGAATTGGTCTAATAGTTACATGGTGTTGCTTGATTACTCACCAAGCAATGGATGGTACTGTGCTCTATTCACAGGCATATATGGAGGTTCGATGAGGTGACCTGTTCCTGGATAGGTGACAAGTTCAATAGTCTTCCTTTTCTCTTTTGGGCAACTCTCAATGAATGTGTTAGCATGGTCAGTTTTCCAGAGACCATCATCGTCCCCAACAAGGTATAATATTTGGGCATTATTCTTCCAAGCCTGCATATATACATAACCACATTAGCTGACGTGAAATGGACCAATGTTAGATTATGTTACCAATCTGGCAATTTAAAAAAACAATAATTGTTAATAAGCTATAAAACCTGAATATTTAGCAGTCCCGTGAATGTTGTTATGTCATTAACACTTTGGGGATTATGCTTCCTTCGACTTCGTTCGTATGGCCCTGTAGAATATTTTGGCACATGCCATGAGATGGCAAAGAACTAGAAAAGAATAACAAAAATGTTCACATGTTCGTCACAGAAGTGTATGAAAGGATTTTCATGTTGAGATTTAACGTTCTTTTCATTTATCAGCCATGCCAAACTGCTTGACTATGAACTACTCACCAAGATACAAGTTTGAGTGAGTCTTGTTCAACACATTATAGGAGATGAAAGCCACAATGACGCAGGTCGGAGACATTTAGGAACCGACCAGAGACCAGTCATTGGTTCATTTTCTTCCTCTTTTAAGAGCTGAACAATATTTTTCAAAACACATTTTTAGGATTATAGAATACTGGCAATACTTTGAGAGAAGCAACTAACCGGAATAACCTCAGAGTCATAGGGAACAGCATCTCTGGTGTAAAAACCTTCATCTGTGTGTTTCAGTTTCGTGATATCCACACTAAATATAAATCGGCTGGAATCAATTTTGTGGGAAACGTACAAATAAATGTATTTGCTGAACTATTGAATATACATACATCGATGAGATCAATCGCTCTCAACATTGTGGAAAAAGTATATGCACAATTATCATTATGTGAATGATTTTACCATGTTAAAGTTTGTGATACAAGAATGAAAGCAACGTTACCTCATCTGCAGATTTGAAATATTGCAATATTTGAAAAGTGTTTATGTTCTAACAAGTAAGACCCCCCTCGCGGCAATCCATCGGTCTGTCTGCTAGAGTAACTGTCCTTTGTCAAAGGGAATCTACTCTAACCCTAGTCTATGAGACGTCACGGCCACGGTCAGACGTTGTTGACAGTCGGTCTGTTCTGTCATAACGTTAAGAAGTGTAGTCAGATGTACACACAGCGACAAAACGAAACAAGGTAACAAATCAAACATATTTCGGCCAAATCCAACTATTTTAATTTGTGGAGAAAGGTTCAAGCCTCACAGGTCTACAAGCACAGATATGGCTACTGATCCCGCTTGGCTAGGCCTCGTGCCCTCGCAAAATTGTGTTGAAATGTATATCTCCAAAGTTACCCAAACTTTTAAATGCCTTAGCTACGTCACAGTTGGACACTGATTTTCAGTATATTAGACTGTTCTTTTGATAATGAAAGCAATTATCTTTGTAGTTTATCCAGATGGTTAATTCTGACTCGATCGCCGAATGACGAGGGCGACGCCATGTTTATTATCAACAGTGAAAGTAGTCCCTACTTGACCTTTGATATTTGCGTCTCTATCCGCATATTACCTCAACGGATATCGTTTTTATCCGTTGGCTTTATCCTGCCGAGAAACCTATCCATTATATGATAAATATATATATATCGGTGGTTTCCAAATCAAATACATTATTGCCATGCTCAACCGCCCTTTTGGCCATACAATCAACAAATGATTGAGTTGCGGTATGAGCACGAGTGGAGGACTGGGGAGATGAGATTTACAGACTCCCAAAGAATATGACGTGTAAATAATACATCAAAAACTTACCTCACCCCTTTCCAATAAAGCTCTCCTGATTTCTTTACATCCTCAAATGAATAAACTGGAAGGCCACTGATATTCACCAAAACCTTCACCTGTTAATAAAAGCAATAGAGTAAGACTCTAGTTAACCTTTAGTGAAAGAAGTTTGATACACATTGAAAGCAGTGTGTGGGGAAAATGACTTTTGATTGTGTTGAGTGTAAGCATAATTCGATATATACTTTAGAGTATTTGACTAATACTTGTTCCTTACATTGATTCCTCGGATGATTCCGTCTAGTTTTTGTTACCGATTTCACATGAATTTATACGTTACCTATACTGATGATATACACACATATCCTCATTTCAACACCTGATTAACCCCTTGAATATTTAAGTTGATTAAGTGTGTCTTGGAGGTATCTCACAGACAATTAAGCTACCTTCACCTTGTCAGTGGCCATGCCAAGCAGGAAGGCCAGTTCACCTCCCTTGGAGCTACCGACCACACCGATACCCTCTCCCTGTACACTTGGATGAGAGGACAACCAGTCTACAGCATCCTAAACAAGTTCAAACAGTAAATTTCTTAAATCTACTCCCTTAATACCGTCAGCGTGGCAATGGCAAAAATCAAAGTGTCTTATACGGAGAAGAAATATACGACATGAACAATCATGTCTCAGGTTTACACCATCATTCAATAAATATAAGTGTCCCGTTGTAATAAGTGACAAATACAATTCTGGGCTAGTCAATAGTAGTGTAGTAGTAGTGTATAGTAGTTTACAGCAAGATAGATATTGTCATCAGTTATCCATGTACTGTATATAGTATTATCCAGGGATAACAACTTACAAGAAAGTAATCAAAGTCAACGTCAGCCAAAGAGGATGGGAGATCATCGTATCTAAAATAGGCGAGAGCAAAGGAAACAAAGCCTCTCGAAGCCAACAATGCAGCTCGGAACTCCACCAGACCACCTGTAGAACCAAACATGTCGAGCACTCCAGGAAATGGACCTTTACCTGTAAACATGACATGTTTTCCAGTGTATATATATATATATAGTTAAGCCGTATGATCTCAGACCTCAGTTCCTTAAGGAGACATAGCCAAGATTACCATGAAACAATGTGTTTTTATTTTAAGGTGTAACAGATTTGGAAAATGACTTAATTTCATCCAAAGCATTACGAACGTCACTTTTGTTGCACAGACTAAAGTGTCAGTACCATGCACACTTCAGGTTCACGGAATTAAAGAACAATGTCATGCTAGTCCAAATAGTGACTTTCAATCAGCATCTGTAACCTCCCTGAACCTAAAGAACTGCCTCCTCAAGACGCCTTCTCATTCTTTGGATCAGTCTCTGGATTTGATTGTGAGGAATTATGTCCAATTTCTCATGCAGCAACATTCAATTCATTGAGCGAATGGACAGGTGGGTCTCTTTGTCGAACACGACGGCCTAAAATGGGACAGAATTCCTCAGAATCTAATCCAGAGATTGATCCAAAGAATGCGGAGGCGCCTTGAAGCAGTTGCTCGGGTACAGGGAGGTTTGACTTTAGTTCACTGCGCAAGAACTGCCCAGTCTGTGGCGTTCGCTCATGATCGCCAATGTATTTGGTCGCATTCTAAACTGGGTGGAATTGACAGTCTGAGTGTCCGAGCCTGTCTTAAAAGGTGTTACGTTTTAAGTATCTATTTCTCTGTCATGATACTTATTTAGGTACCCCTGTTGTTGATAATTCCAAACGTGTGAAATCCACATGAACCAAAGAGATACAATACTTTACCTGCAGGCAAGAAAAGAGTTCCTCTCAAGGAACCCTCGCGCACTTCGACTCTCCTGACGGTCTCGTGTTTGTACCAGCGTTGTAACTCGCCTGTTGCCAGAACAACTGAGGAGGGAAACTGGAGATCAGCAAAGGGGATGTGGTCATCCATGACAGATAGTCTGAAGACCAGAGGTATCGTCACGTCTGCCTGTCTGAGAAGTGGCTTAAGGGACACTCCAGGAACAGGATTCATACTCCAGAAGAGGCCCATGTTGTCAACACCTGAACAAATCCTGGTACAATGAGTAACATGTGAATACAAACCAATATACCTTCACTATCATATATACCTTCTCAGTAATGAGTACAAGTTAGGCAAGCTTCTGCTCAAGAGTGAGAGGACCGACTTCTACTTCATCTTTGTTTTGTAAAGAGTAATCATATGAAAACCGAATACAGTGCCGTCCAACAGAGAACTACACGAATACGATCTTATTGTGTACGAACTTGGTAGAATAAGAATTAAGGTTGTTAATCCTCACTTTTTATATTATTTCTATGGAGATTAATCGAATACCTTTGTATGTTCCACCAACTGAAGCATGTTGGCTGACATCAATCTGTCCTTCCTCGTCTGCTAGAAAATGGCCACATGAGCTGAAAACCGCCTTTCCTTCTTCCACGTACGCCTGTACCGTCACTCGCTGTAATGGCTGAAGACTGTTGGCTGTGATGGAGACCCTCTCGTCAACTAGTGCAACGCGGGGGTTGACATTGAGACACGCCAAGCTTGAATATGTTTGTCGTCGGCTGCCGACGAGTCTCAAAATTGCCTCAGTATAATACCTTCCCCGTAATACAAACATCATACCGGATTGTGTATTAACTGAAATGAAACAAGTGTCGAAGCTTCGGTAGGTGAGCCCCATTAGTAGAGTAGAAATAAACATATGATCTAATGGAGAGAATGCATATTGTTGAATATGTACTTGAGAGATGCTGTCAAATTGCGCAAAATTTATTGATAGGGATAATAGATTTGAAACATGATCAAATTCAAGCTGACGCATTCCACAATAAATCACTTTCACTTGCCATTCATGTATTTTTGTTCTTGACAGCTTCCTTAATGAAAATGTTTATTTCATTCACCGACTTCAATGCATTGAATATTTCGTAAACTTCTAGATGACAAATAACAATACAGGAGTACATTGGATTTTCAAAATGAATCACTTACATGTTTACATTCTTCTTATCGCATACAAATAAATTACCTGAATGTATGTTCAAATATATATTCAAGCGAAATCCCTTGCCATAATCATGCTAATAACAGCGACAGAAACATTTTCATTTAAACCCTTATCATAGAAATTTGTGCTCAAATCATAGTCCATTGTACGATTCCAACAATAGACCACATGTTCACGGTAAGCTGGGCGTATCCAGCCCCTACGGTGGCAACTTCAGAAACATACAAAGGCATGTAAAGGGTTCACCTGAACAAGTATGGTTCAAGTCAAAATAGGGAATAACAGCGTTCATTGTTTTGGTTCCTGGTGCGTCAGATATTGGAAATGGCGTCCACATGTCTATTATAAACATTTTGAAAGCTTTACAAAGGCCTTGAATGCTGTAACACTGATCAAACATCCTTTTCGGAAAGACTCGCATGACGCCTTTTTAAAGACCATGCTCGATTGTACCTCAACAAATGAAATCACCAAAGACTGGGCTAGAGATGCTGGAATATTCCAGGACATATGGACTCGGGGTTTTACATTTTCAACTAGAACCGATGAGTAGTGTTTTAGTGAGTGAGTGAGTGAGTGAGTGAGTGAGTGAGTGAGTGAGTGAGTGAGTGAGTGAGTGAGTGAGAGAGAGAGAGAGAGAGAGAGAGAGAGAGAGTGAGAGTGAGAGAGAGTGAAAAATTAATGTCACATCGTCAATATTTCAGCCATATCGTGCCGAGAAGTTGTACAAAAATACCAAATATGTTTAGACTGAACGAAAACCATCGTCGATGGACAGTATAATAGCTAGATCACCAAGGATTGTGTTTAAAACTAGTTGAGAACATTTTAAAGATGAATATGGGCTATCGATCGCCAGTAACTGAAGGTAGATGACCAGGTCAGACACCATGGGGACGTACAGTACATTTGCTTCCTGCACGCACCCCAGCAGCAGTCAGTCACTGTCGATGGTTTCAAAGTTTAAAATTAAAATGAGGAATACACTGCCTTTAACAGTCTGATATGCAACTGCACCTGACGCATGACTGAATAATCTAAATGTCGTAGATTACAAAAGTTGGGATTATTTTTTAGTGTAAATAGTTTCTTCTCCTCAGATCCACTGTGATCAACCAGGAACAAGTTCTGTAGATTAAAATAATATTACTCATTTTACAGACTTGTTTTATAGTTCAAAATTGATATGGTGAGGTGAGGTGAAATGGGGTTTGACGTCGCGCGTGTGGGTGCGTGCGTGCGTGCGTGCGTGTTTGTGTTCACGCGTGCTTGTACTAGTCCGGACTACAGCCGATTTTATAGTGAGATACCATGCTGTTTAAGATGAATACCCCACTCAGACACTGAGTACACTGACTCCGAGCCGACTAGTCCTTGTTTAAGACCCTTAATGCAGGCAGGTAAGATAACAACAAGTACCATCTTTTGATGCCTTTTGGTATGACCCGGCAGGGGATCGAACCCCGCACCTTCCGCTCCCAGGGCTGACCACGAAGGCGTTACAAAAATTGATATGAACTATGATGAGGACGATACTATATATAATAATAATAATAATAATAATAATAATAATAATAATAATTTATTTGTAAAGCGCCTAATATCCATCGACAGTTGCTCACTGGCGCTGTGACGAAGTTAAAATGTAATGTCTATGTACATATGCCAACAATAAGGAGATCTATTGAAAAGCTGAAGTGAAGAAGTGGGTTTTGAGGAGAGACTTAAACGTTTCCTTAGAAGCAGAGTTTCTCAGATTCAAAGGCAAAGAGTTCCATAACTGTGGACTGCAAAAGGAGAAGGCACGGTCAGACATAACAGAAGTAGACAGAGGCTGATACAGTAGAGTTCCACCAGAGGATCGGAGAGCACGCTCTGGAGAGTACAGGGATATAAGATCTTTGAGATAATCTGGATAGTCGCTATTGTTGAGGCAGTCGTGAGTGATGATACATATCTTATAGTTTATACGAAAGGAGAGGACAGGACTGATGTGACTGGATCTTGGAACTTTAGAGATGCATCTAGCTGCAGAGTTCTGAATGCGTTGTAGCTTTGATATGGCTTTCATGGGAAGATTAGCATACAATGCATTGCAGTAATCCAGTTTGGAGGTCACAAGACATTGCATCAACAATTTAACTGTTGGAGTATCAAGTAGATGGCGTACTTTACTGATGTTATAGATGCTATGGTAGCATGCTCTGCTGGTTAGTGAAATATGAGTGTCCATTGTCATTGTTGAATCAAAGGTGATTCCCAGATTACGGGCCCTGGCAGTTGGGTACACAGTGGTATCACCAATATCAAGGTATAGAGAGTCAGAGTGAAGCTTTCTGACTTGCTGTGGCGAACCAAGGATTAAAAACTCAGTCTTCTCTTCATTGAGTTTGAGATAATTGAAGCTCATCCAGGATCGTATGTCATCAATACAGCGCTCAAGGGCGGCGAGGTTCAGAGACAGCCCGGAAGTTTTAAAGGAAATGTAGATCTGGTTATCGAGGTGGAAGTTAAGAGCATGTTTCTGGATGATATTTCCAATTGGCAGCAATTTACCATTTATATGTTCAACATTTGTTTTGAATCGTTCGTCACTTGGATTATAATTTTCAATTATGCATAAACATAAAAAAATTCGGAGGATATATGCTTTATTATAAGTCCCCAATATCATGTTCATGTACATGGTGTACACATAATTTTGTTCAGAAAAAGAATTCCAATTGGTAATCAAGCATAGACGCTTATATCAATACCTCTCAAATACATTACATACATCATCATCAGGATGGCGGTAACAATGAAATGTACAAATTAACAAACATGACCAAAAGTTGATTTATAAATACTTTAAGCATACATCTGTCGGTGTGTATTTTAGTTATTTCATCCCCAAACAAAAGTATCACTGTTTTCCCCTAAAGCGCAATTATATTCAAGCATGTTTTTCAGTCACCTTTCGTATAGGGCGGTCGGGTAGACTAATGGTTAAAGCGTGCGCTCGTCACGTCGAAGACCCGGGTTCGATCCCCGACATGGGTACAATGTGTGAGGCCCATTTGTGGTGTCCCCTGCCGTGTTATTGCTTGAATATTGCTAAAAACGGCGTAAAACTCACTCACTCACTCACTCACCTTTCGTATAAATTACAAGTTACGTTACATGGATTATATATATGTTTTTACAGAAGAAGAAAAGACGAAACATAGTTTATTCAGTGTACGTGAGTGAGTGAGCTCATATTTAAAGTCACATCGGTAGCATTTCAACCACATCGTGACGATAAAATGTTAGACATAATAAATACAATTGGACTATCAAAAACCTGTCAACAGAGGACAGTAAAACAACTTGATTGATTACAGATCTATATGTAAAACTAGTGTGATACCATAGAAAAATATCTCTGTACATAACAAGACATTATGCAGAACTAATGGAGAAGGAGATTTAATACTATTGAAAAGATCCTTCAGAGATGATGATTTGAAATAATTATTTCCCTTGTGATGGGAAAATCAACACAGTCAAGCTGGTTGGGTGTGATTATCTCATCACAAGGGATGCAGATCGGAGGATCCTCATCTGTCAACAAATATTCATTGAAATATACATCGTCGTAAAATGACCTCTTCAAATCCTGACTGAAACCTCAGGTGGACATAACCGATATTTGTTTTTTTATTTCATGTAATTTAGTAATACCTGCTTGGGTGTCCCACTTCTTTTGCATCAGATCTCGGATGTAACATCTAATTTCAAGGTTTATGATCACTGCATGGTATAAGAAGTGGAGTGTTTGAGTGCTGCCTTTGCAGCAACATCGGCCATTGTGTTACCAATGATAACAACATGCCTGGGTAACCAACAAAAGACGATGTCATATTGGCCAGTAGCAAGATCATTAAATAATTGAAGAATTTCGATTAAAAGTGGATGTTTACATGACATATTTTAATAGCATGAAGGCACGAAAGAGAATCTGAAATAAAATAATGAATTGTTTATATTTAGATTTGTTGTTGATATTATTTATTGATGTAGAATTTGCTTCTGCTGTGAATATGGAACTGTTATCTGATAATAGTAAAGACACTGTTCTGAATCCAATAGCAGTGGAACAAGAAACTGCGACACCATCCTTGGATCCATTTGTAAATATAGATATATAAGTGTCATATGTGTTTCGTAATTGATTGAAGTTTTGTTTATATTGTAACTATTGAAGTCTAGTTACATAAATGTCAGGTCTACATTTGTCCTTACCATTTGCCCAGCTGGTGTTGACAAAAGATAAATGGGAGCTATATTTTGAATGTTAACGTAAGCTGCAGATTTGACAGATTTCATTCATATTCCAAGTGGTGGAATAAGAGTTGATATTGTATTGTATTGTAAATATTTTATTAAAGAGGATTAAATAGACAATCAAAGCTGGATCTGACTGATAAGAATATAATTCAGTGATGAACTGTAAAGATAATATCAGGCTGCGTACACGTTCTTTCAGGGAAGGCCCATCCACTTAAACATACAGACTACAAAATGGGAGAAGTTCTAAGGGCTGCAAAGGCAACGTCTCAGGTCTTGTTGATGGATAGTATCTAGTTTTTGTAAAATATTTTACATTCCACCATAGACGATGGAGACAAGTTTT